CAGCCGATGGGGAAAAAAGGTTCTCGAGTAGCAGCCTCGTACCGGTAGGTGAAGTGTAGAGCAATCCCTCACTAGATGGAGTGAGGACCTGGTAAGACATGCAGGCATTCGATGGATGCAGGTGGCTCAGGACCGTGCTTTGTGGCATTCCTTGGGGGAGGCCTATGTTCAGCAGTGGACTTGTGAAGGGCTGTAATGAAATTATTCTTTCAATATTATATTTTATATTATTGTACGAGTTTTCACCAACAGTTTGAAGTTTAAATGCGGTAAAATTACTTTTGACTAAGAACGTGCGTCAGAACCACTTTGACTTCAAAAATCAGTCAAAACTGTTTTTGACTAAGGGTATCGGTCAAAACCATTTTTGCTTGAATTTTGCAGTCAAAAGTGATTTTGACCTGTTATAAGTTTTGATTGTGACATATATAAAATTCCGGTGTAAGTATGCTCGTAATTCTTTACCTCCTAAACCGCTCGACTGATTTTGATGAAATTTGTATGGGGTACTTTAGGGTCACCTGGATGGTCCTTAGGAATAGTTGGGCCCGGTAGGTGGCGCCCCATGCGAACCCAGGGCGGATCGTTAGTCATTGATAAAACTTAAGAAGTCTTTTTATATGGGTTTTTAACAAGTATAAAAAATAAATTTGCTTCTTCAATTCCTCTTTTTGGCCTCTCTTCAACTATATTATGTAACTTATTTACAGCGCGAACAAAATCAACCTTTCGTTAATGAAAGTGACATTAAACAACGACCTCGTAACTGTTTCTCGTAAATAAACTAACAAAAGCGTACCACAATAGCGTTTAGTTGTTATTAACGCCTACATGAGTCTTAGCTAAGTGAGAAGTTTACGGCGAAACGCTTCTCGTGTATTAGTATGCTTATTTTAACAGGCGCATATCTTATTACATCTTATCACACTATACTTGAATTAGAGGTTCTTTATTTAGGTCGAACCGAACTATTGGTGCTGAACTATATATGTATAACAGCAACTCGAAAGAGTTTTTGTTTGTCATTTTCCTTCGTTTTGCTTTTCATTGTTGCCCTTAAATAGCGTTACGTTATCATTAAGAGTTTTAGTAATTACGAAGAAGTAATTTTAAAGGTTCTAATTAAGATTAATACGATATTCTCATCTAACGTTTAAAACCTCATCTGTGCAAGTTTTAGTATTAAGGTTTTACGTACCTATACCTAGAATTCAGATGTTCTATTAAATGAATCTAGTTACAACCCTCTAAAATAAATTGAAATAGAAACAATAGTGTAAATAAAACGCAGTAAAATATAAGTTATTCAAATAAGATAAGGGTGTTAAGTTAGTCGTACTTATCGACTACTTATATCATTGTAATAACTTACGTAGATATAACTGACTAGGGGCTTACTGTACTAAAGTAAATTCTCTAATCTTACAGAAATCCGATCGGAAAGAAATTAGGTTAATGCGAGTGAAAGATTTACGAGGTAGGGCCATGCTTGCAGATATATTATTGTTACAGCACGATTGAGTCGGCTCTACCAGCAGGATCGGAAGGACCAAACTCCCATAAAATATTATTTTATGCCAAACCTGAAAACTATGTTCAGCAGTGGACTTTGACAAGCTGTAAAGAATGAATGGATTCTGTAAGAGGACAGTGAATCCCCAGCCGACTTCACTCATTGGTGCTGCAAAAATAATATGTACGCTGAACTGAACTGTGGCTCTACCACGTAAAAAGTTCCTAAGGTAAATATTAAGCTACTGTTTACTGTTTCAAAGCCAAGCTATCATTATTTACGAAAGTATTCAGAATATCATTTGTAACGAAATTTTTATTTGAAATCGCGACTACAATAATTATTTGCTGTAATCGATAAGCTTGTCAGACGGAATGGCGATCGCAGTGACAGTCGTCTTGCACGTGTGATGCTGATTCTTATTACCGGTATTGATCTGTCACCACACCATCTATCTAAGACCATGGGATTTCTCTGTCACCTCCCTAAGTGACCTCTTACGTCGCCGTTTTACTATTGTAGGAAAGGCTTAGTATCGTATCTAAAAAAAATTGTATACTAGCCGTATAGATACTAATAAGCTAATGACGAAGGCGAAAATTTGCATGAGTTCAGCAATGACAGTTGACGTTAGCTATTCTTCATATTAATGTTTTGATTGGAACTTGAGTGGAGTAATTGGTTGGATTACTTAAGTTCATCAACCCCAAAGCGTGTCTATTAGCTGTGTAAATGAATACTGAAATGGAAACCTTATTGAGGCAATTTAATTGTTTTAAGATTAATTCGGCTAAAGCTAAAATGGCGTTCTTTATATCTAGTTAAAATGCTGAAGTTACCGTTTTAGCGACGAGGCACTTACCTCGATCTAGTACTTAAAACGTTAAAAGCTTTCCACAGAAAGCACACATGCATGCAATATATGTCATTAAAAAAAAACTCCACACACACTAGAATGGTTTTTATCATTCTGGTGTGCTTGAAGTATTTTGTCATATAGTATATATCCCTGACCGAAATCACTCCATTTCGACATTAATTAGTCGAATAAAAAGACATAAATAACGCGAATAATAACTTTTTAATAGAAGTCAGAATGAACTTAAACTGTATAATTTAATGGGGAATGGGATGTGTTTAAAATGTTTTTTTTTAAACACATCTCGTTCCCTCTTATACATAATAATTTGTCTTAAGAAGTTGTTATCAAACTATTACTACTAATGTGAAATTTTATTTGGATGTTTGTATGTTTGTGGTTCAATCAAGCAAAAACTCCTGAATGATTTTGATATAATCTTGGCGAGCACTGCGTTTGTAATTTATACAACTATAAAAGTTGTAGTTTGTTGACTCACAATTGCCTTGCCTTGATGCCTTGCATAAAACACCGAAAGTTAAAAAAAAATTAAATAATTACCATTCCCATTAAAAGTAACAATTCAAATATAATTAAATTCAATGACAATTTATAAATCCCAGGAAAGTCAAACCTGGTAAGTAGTGCAATAGCTTGCTCGCGTGTTTCTAGGACCAAAATTCTACACGGTTTCTCATTTTTTTAATGTAGTGCATAGAAGGCGTAGTAATGTAGTTAAAATATTTTAGTAATAAAATAAAGTCGTCTTATAATTATTAAACACCAGCGAAACCGCAGGTAAAAGTTGTAGATCATAAAATTCTTTAAAAATGACTTTGTTTGATCATTCGTTCTCGAGATATAGCGCGGAGAGTACAAGGCACTCAGCGTAAGTATAATATGATAGATATGGAGCGCATAATCGAATATTTTTTTTTGTTTTATTTTATTACCAGAGTTTTCGGTATTGAGGCTTAGCCAGGAACGAAACACCGCGTTTTGCGATATTTTTTAAACCCCGACATAAAGAGAAGAGTGTTATAAGTTTGACCGCTATGTGTGTGTGTCTGTCTGTGTATCTGGCTGGGTGCGGTTTTTTTATTTAAAAACAGGTTTTCTAGCGGTGGTTCTTAGACATGTTTTATCTAAATCGGTTCAGCCGTTTGAAGATCATCATATCTCTTTTTGTTTCGGGATTTTTATTTAAGTTTTAATTTAAATTATGTGATGTCTATTAAATTAATAGATACATGATAGATAAGCAAATGAAAAGTTTTGCGATGGTAAAATGTTGTGTATTGAGGTTTTTACACCCGGTCAAATGTACTTTTTATTAAAAAAATATTCTCTTCTATATACTTATTGCACCAAACAAAATATTAATATAGCTAAGATTATATTTGTGTTGCGTTATCATCTGCACCGATACGACAACAACGTATACAGGGATACGATTTCAAGGTGGTGTATATGTCGTAGGATAATTTGATAAACCGAATTTTCCGCAAAAATCTAGGAATATCGCGAAAACACAGATAATTAGACATTCCTCAATCTTACTGAAAAAATATAGGGGTTTTTGTAAAAACGCCACTTGCTTTAGTAAAGATTGCGAAAAGAATCGTTGGCTATATATTATAGCGTACGTGAGGGTAATATGGTCATCCGGTGAATATGGTCACTTTTTTATAACACAAAATCTACAGCCTTATTTGCATAGATGGCTCTATGATACGATAGCTTTTTATTATTCAATCAAATATTAAAAGGTCATAAGGGCGCTGATTTATCGACGCCATTTTGAAAGGTGTTCGATTTCGCGCGCTCAGTTTGAACTATTGCTTATAATTTATTAAAAAAAGCTGTGTTCTGTCAACTTTGTTGTTTTAAGACTCATCATACCGTATTATAGGTAAGTAAATAAATAATTTATCATATTTTTAAATAGTCAAGTGTCCGTAATGGTCTTCTAAATATAGTTTTTTGTTATTCGTAAACAAAGTGAACAAGTACTGCTTTGCTAATATGGCCACCGAAATGACCATATTTACAGAATGAAAATAGTAAAAAAAAGTTTTAGGATATTTTTCTTAGGATTATCTAATTAATAAGGCTTAATATTATTTTTTTTTTCAGATTATGGGTCGTTATATTAAGAAAGGATTAAGAGGGAACTGGCGTCAGGAGGATCTCCAAGCAGCTCTTAATGCAGTTACAAATGGACAGAAGATAAAAACCGCCGCCAAAGAGTTCAAAATGCCAAGGAGAACCCGTAAAAGGTACCTAAAGACAAAACAAATTCTAAAGTCTCATCTTGGTCGCAAACCACTTCTCTCTTCAGAACAAGAAAATTAATTGGTAACGCGTATTAAACGATTAGCAAGAGCTGGTTATCCTATAACATCAAAGTTATTGAGGATATGTGTGTATCAATATTGCAAACTTAACAAAATTCGTATACCTAAGTCAACTGAAGGAAACGGTAAAGTTGGGCGTGACTGGTTAATAAGATTTATGGAACGTCACGAAGATCTTTCTTTGAAAAAAAGCCAAAAGTTAAGTCCTGCTAGGGCATAAAAGCTTAACAAGTTTGTGGTGGATGATTATTTTAAAAAACTCAAGGAAATAATGGAGAAGTTGGCTGTGCAAGATAAACCGGCTCACATTTACAACATTGATGAAAAGGGCTGCCAAATGATACTTCACAAAAGTCCTCTAGTTTTGGCACAAAAAGGTGTAAAGCGAGTCCACACACTAGCGTCGGAACATGCTGAAAATGTTACTATTGTTTCCTGTGGAAATGCTATCGGTAACACCATACCACCTATGATCCTCTTCAAAGGAAAGAGATTGAAACCAGAATGGGAAGATAATTTACCCCCAGGCTCTTTAGTAGCAATGGCTCCAAAAGGCAGTATGAACTCTGAAACCTTTGTGAAATGGAGACATCATTTTGCAAAATTCAAGACTCCAGGTCCTTGTTTATTGATATTCGATGGAGCATCTAGTCACTTAGATTACAATATTGTAGACGTTGCAAATAAACACGTTATTACTCTATTATGTCTTCTAAGTAACACAACGCACGAACTGCAACCCATGGACAAGGCGTCTTTAGAGCGTTTGAGTATTACTGGGATCAAGAGCTTCAGAAATTTCGGTTCCAGAACAAAGACAAAGCTCTGACAAAACAAAGATTCGGGAGGATATTTACTCCAGTATGGGACAAAGCTCTTACCCCATGTAATATAAAATCCGGATTTGAAGCTACTGGAATCTATCCATTCAACTCAGATAGAATTCCAGAATGTGCTTATGCTCCTAGCATTCCAAATCACTTACCAAAAGCAGATGAACCGCAGAGCAATTCTGATGAAAATAATGCAGCAAGCATTATAAATGCAGCTTCTGCACTTAATGATGAGAGTTTCAGTTGCGAAGATAACGTCCCTTTAAACTTGTTTCAAAGCAATGAACAACAAAATGTGATTTCATCTTGCATCAGAGATGAACCAGCACCATTGGCTTCCCTGGAAGTCATAGAATTAAAACCCGTGAACCCAACAGTGTTCAATAAACCGGGGCCTTCGAATTCTGTATGCTCTGTTCAGCCTATATATTCAACTAATAAAGTCGTTGTTCAGCCTATAGTTTCCTCCACGTTATGCAATGTTCTGAAGCTGATATTGTCAACATCTTCCAGCATATTTAAATGAAGCGGGCAATGTGGCCTTCATAGATATGATGCAGACACCTGAAAAAAATCTTCCAATAAGTCACAACGACGCAAAACAATTAACAGTCTGGCACAGTATTTGACAATGTCGATGTTCGCTAAGATAAATCCTACAGTAGTAAATACACCATCACGCACAAAAGCTTCCCATCCAGTGAAGAGACGCAAACAAGCTACCAAGCAAGCGCAATCATGGTATTGCTTCCTCTGTAAGGAAGACAGAGTAGCAGACATGAGGCTCTGCAAATGTTGTGGTGTTTATGTACATGAAGAGTGTGTTGGATTAACAGCAGAAGATAAAGAAAGATACATGTGCCCAAAATGTGAGAACTAATTTACGTGGGAAATGCATACTGTTAATATGGACACATAGTGACCATATTTCCAGCATATGCGGTAAATATGTTCACTAACTGGTTTTTTTTAAACTTTATTTTTTAAGTGTTCCTAATTCTTGCCAAAGTTTGTTTTCTATTTTTTTCTTAATATATTAGTTATAAATAGTTTAAGATTTTGTGTTTTTGTCTCTGTCCTGCTCCTAGTTTTGGTTTTATAGGGCGGCAAAGCTTAAGGTGACCATATTACCCTCACGTACCTTAAACGAAACACAATGATTGGTCAGTCGGATCGCCCAAAACAACGTGTAATCTGATTTGCCCCCCACCTGTTCCCCCGCCGGACGTGCCTATTTTTTTTTAAATTAAATATTTAAGATTAAAATTTTTGTTAAAAAATCGCTTTAATAGGTGGGGGGTGGGGGTCCTCCCTCCGCCAAAATAATAACAAAGTGTAGTATTTACGGGGCTCCGTCGCTATTTCTGGATGGTTTATAAAATAATAACCACGAAATAGATGGAGGATTACTCGACCCCGCCATCCCCTTCTAACTTAACCTGTCCGACTCGGGGTGCCCCAAGTCCCGAGCTCGCTTCGCTCGCTCTTGCACCAAATACAACACCAAAATGTTAACTTTTATAATTACTTTAACAAGTAAACATATTTTATTACTTCCACCATTTCCACCTACAAGGTAAAACTAGGAACCAATCACAAGAAATTGCCTATAAACCAAAATCAAGCCAATCAGAGTGAAGTATATTCAAAGTTTCTAAAGCAACCAGTGTTTTCGCAAAACTCCTTTTTTCAGTAAGATTGAGAAATGTCATAGCCATTGTCTAATTATCCGTGTTTCGCGTTATCCCTGGACTTTTGCGGAGAATTCGGTTTATAAATTATCCTATGACATAAACGACTGCCTCATCTACTGGGTTTCATGCATCGGGTGTCTGAGGATATTGAGACGCAAACAAGTTTTATGATTGAATGTATGCCGTTAAGTAGAAAAAAATAAATAGAGTTTGAAAGGCGACGCAGGTTGATGAGGAATGTCAGTTATTAATTAAGTAAGTACATATTAAACGGCTGACCAAAAATAAACGCGATGTTCATAAAAACGTTAGAAAGTGTTGGTCTTATTGTGAAGATCTCCAATATGTGAATGGGTTGATATTAAACAAATATTTTATTTTTATTCCGGAAAGCTTAGAAGCCGAAATGAATTTAAAGGTGCACGCAGGTCACCTAGGCAAACAGAGTGTGCCTAGGTGACCTGCGTGCACATTTAACCTGTCAACAGACGTGGAGGTTGAACGCGTCGCGCCGAGTGCCGCTGCGATTAAGTGCCCTGCACGCGCCGGAACCACAACTTCAACATATTGTATCGTACCCAATGCATCCTTGGCAATATAAAATATTTTTGAGTATAAAAGGAAATACTATGTTCTATTAGTAGACCATTTTTATAATTATGTGGAGGTTCAAGAAGTAAATAATACAAAAAGAGTAGAACAATTATTCACTTCATGAAAGAACAATTTTCGAGGCATGGCATCCCTAGCGAGCTTGTTACTGATAATTGGGCTGACACGGCGTATAGTTCTATAGTAGATTCTGGGGATGATTTCTTTATAAGTTTATTGAACTATAGGAGAACGCCCGGACAGAGTACGTAGTTATAGAATGGTCTCGCCGGCTGAAATTCTGTTGCGAAGACGCTTGCGTAAAAAACTACCGATTAGTGATATTCTATTAAATGAAACGGTTGATAGAAATATAAATTATAAGACGTTAATGCTATAGAGAAAACATAATAAATTACTTTACGTAAGTCAGCCAAGCCTTTGCAGACATTATTATCAGGAAATAAAGCAGTTTTAATTGATAACGGGAATAGTAAACCAGTTTCTGTTATTAGACCGTCGAGGGAACCACGTTCGTTCATATTAAAGGATTAGCGCGGACGGCGATTGAGGCGCAATCGCTTCATTAAATACTAGTTAGATATTTGGTAAAGCAAAATAAGTCATAAAAATGTAAAACATATAGGTATGTGATAGAAATATAATATAATATACATGTGTTCATACTACGGCAAGGTGGCTTCGTTATAATGGTAAGAATATTCATTTCTGTATAAGTTATCTGTATATTCATTTTTGTATTGAGTATAAAGCTCATTTCTACGGTTATAATATAAATAATATTTTACTTTGTTTCATTGAATAGTTTTTTTATATAAAATTTTATTTCTTTCATTTTACTTCTCTTCATTATTATAGGGGAAAGATGTAGTATATTGTGGGTAGATCAATATTGAGTGTTGACACTGTAACTTCATCTATAATATAAAAATGAATCGCTGAATGTGTTGCTAAGCGCAAATCTCGAGAGCAGCTGAACCGATTTCGCTAATTCTCTTTTTATAATATTCCTTGAAGAACGAAGATAGTTATTATGCAGAGAAAAATTTAAAAAATTGCCTGAAAAAGTCCAAAAACAAAACTTTTCTATATTCCTATACAAAAGATTCGTAATAATACTTAAAAGTCAATTTGAACTTTAATACCATACCATAAAGTTTAAGTGTTAGTGGAGGGGTTCCGGGAAGGCAGACCAATTGAGTGACGTTAGTATCGTATAAATATTAACGTCAATATTTGTCAATAGTGTTTTATAATATTTATTTTTTGACATAATGTCATTGTTGACTTATCAACTTTCTTGTTTTCGTTTTTTATCTTATTAGCTGACCCGGTGTCCCGAATAGCAAAAAAATTAAAGAATCGACTGTTAGGCGGTACGAAGTTCGCCGGTTCAGCTAGTTAAGATAATAAAATCAGTGCTTAACCAGCTAGGGTTTATTTTATTACAAAAATCATGAAGTGAATGCAGAATATTGATAATGCCTTGTAGCGGCGGTGTAAGAGAATCTACTACCTTATACTTAGAACCTCTTAGATCTCATACCATCCCGTGAGCATCCCAAAAGACGTGCAGATGGAAATGAAACAAGATATAGGCAGCAGTGTCTTCCTAACATCTAATTTGATAGAGCCATGCTGCAGCTATATTAATAGTATAGTTGTAGCACGAATGGGTCGGCACGACCGGGGAAGGACCACGCTCTTTCAGAATACGAGCGTAAAATAGCAACTTAACACTGCTGTGTTTCGTATGGTAAGTGTAGAGAACCGGAGACCCTTTTTACTAGAAAAGAGGCATTCCATCTTAGTCCTCACGAGTGACAACGCATCTAGATTTCTATGGATCACAGCAACCATTTAACATCAGGTGTACTGTGTGCACATTTGTCACCCTATCCTATTAAAAAAAACTCTAAATAATAAAAAAAATGCGTTTATCAACCCACTTGCTAAGAGAGGGTAACTATGGGAAATATTCCCCTATGAGGCAATCTATGCAAAAAGCCTATGTTCAGCCGTTCCCTACATAGTATATAATTAATTAATTTATATTGGATAACATAAACATGAAGCGTAGAGGAAAACAGGTAATACGTTCATAATCGATTTATTATTAGTTTTGGTGGAGTACGAAAAGAGGAGGTAAACCGCGGATATGCTGCGGCTTCTATATTATCGTAGTAGCTTCCTCTGTGGACGTTCCGTGAAGCAAGCACGGTATCGATTAGACAAATAAATAAATATTTAAAAAAAAGGGTAGACGGTTACTTACAAGTATTCCCTGTGAAACTCATAATAAAACTAGAGATAATTTGCCACAAATATATCGGCTGAATTTAAGTAGATTTCAAAGTGACCTTTTTAAACGATATATTTTAACTTACTACGATAGTGCGAAACTCCGCATTATTCGACTACGTTTTGTTGCAAGATATCTGATGTTGCTTCTATTAACGTTCATTGATATAAATATGTAATAATACGAACCGAATTAATCAAAATCCTTAATTTTACTAAGTCATAGACTAAATGAATTCATTGACAACGTTTTTTATTTCGCTAAAGTCACATCAATTAAGGCGTCTATGCAATGGAAAAAATGCAACAGCCTTGTAAAAGAAAGGAATTAAGAATAATATAGCTATCTAATTTGTACCACTTAAAACGTCATATCAAAAAGTTCAACTGCAAGGATTTTGTTCTTATTTTAGGAATCCCTCTATGCGAGTAATTACTCTGACATAGGTATTTAGTTTATTTTGATAATTGGGGGTATCAGTATGTGTATCAAAATACCGATAAATAATGACTTATAACACCATCTATTATTTTCAGAATGTAAAGTATTCATTGAAGAAATTCCAGACTATTGAGAACATTTTACTTGTATTAATAATATTCAATAATTGTATACAATAAATGTGTTGTTCTGTATAACATATTTTGTAACAACTGTAAAAGACACCCATTATGCAAATAATTGAATAAATAAGTAAATTAAAACAAATAAATTAATATTTTTCAATTACTATGCATCCTATGGACGAAATACACATTTTTGTTTATTTATAATCTTAACTAAACTCTTTAGTCAAATATTTTATAAAAATAAAGTATTAGAACCATGAAACAATGTGCCAAATTTAAATGCTATTTAAATTCAATTGTACAATTCGCATCGGTAAAGATGTAACACTCCATAAATTACCACACCGTT